TGATGTAACTAAACACATTAATGAAATTCATAATGCCTTTACTTTTCCCCCTTTCTCTTCCCCCCTAACCCTCGCCCCCCCAACCCGTTCTAAATGAAATTAAGCTAGATTCATCAGTAAAAACTTGCCTGGGCAAAACTTGCCTCAGCAAAAATAATTTTACAAATTGAATTAAAGGTTCCTACAAATTTTGTCTATAGGAATCCTATATGACCTAAAATGACCACTCACATAGATATTTTTTCTTTTTTTCTATTATACAAATTTTATGTAAATATTCTCCTGCTGTACAAAAAAAATAATTTAACAGTAGAGTTAATTACATGTTCCCTTGATCATTCGTCCTATCCTACCCCCTTTCCTAAAAGTAACACTGGTCAGTAGTTACGCTCTATTTTCCATGACCATGCTCTACAGCAAAAGGAAGGACAATAGAAAGAAAGGACAAAAGGAAGCACTTAGAGAATGGCAAAGATGAAGTGAACAGACTACTAAAATACAGTGCCAAGGTTTGTTTTAGAAAATACCAAAGCTAGCCATAGCCAAGGTTCCTCATCCAGGGATGAAGGGATCCTTGAGCTGGGATCTTGGCTTTATTTAAAAAGAAATATCAAGGAAACTGTCTTGTTTTCTAGAAATTACACAAGTTACTAACATGATAAACTCATCCCCATTCCTCTATACCCCATGAAGTACTACAGGGGTACAGAAAAGAAAATTTTAAAAAATACATAAAAACTTGTATTTATATTGAAGAATAAAATAATTTTTACAACCTAAATCAGTTTATATAACTGAAAAAAGTAACTTAAGTACTAAATCTATGAAATATTATCAACATGAATATGCTTGCATTTGTTCATATAAAATACAGAATAAAAAATCAAAAAGGACAATAATTTATGGATAATACACTTATTTATATTTAACAGGTTAAAAAACTCTATAGACTAAACCAAAACTAAAAATAATTAGATACATTCTCAAAACAAAAGTTACAGAACTATTCTTAATATAAAAAATACCAATTGTATAGCAAGGTGTTTAAGTCAAGGAATAGAAATTAAATAAACTAGGGTGGGTGTTAGAAAATCTCACTAACAGATTGCCTTTATTTCCCAATCATATGCTTCCCAGCATGTTCTAAGAGTGTTATCACTAGAAAAAGAATGTTGAGCTCATATATCTAATTTTATTTCCACCAAAAATAAGTCAATCTCTGAATTAAAATGAAAAAAAAAACAAAACCCATGGATAGTTACTATGAATTTTTGAACTTTTACTGATAAAGTATAAATAATTAAGAGCCTCTTTTGCATGAGGGTTGTATGAACACTGAAAAAGTCCGACTTTTCATGATGTACTGTGCTACTAAACATATCTGTAGATTCTGAGTGGATCTTGATCTGTTTTTAATTTCATGCACAAAATTGAAGTTTATTGATTTCTGTTCCCAATGGCTTCCTTAAAATTACATCCATTTAACAATGTCTTTTTAAAAATTAATTTTAGAGAGAGGAAAGGAGAGGCAGAGAAATCAATGTGAGAGAGAAACATTGACTGACTGCCCTCCTGACCAGGTAGCTCAGTTGGTTGGAGCATTGTGCCATTCACCAAAAAAAAGTTGCAGGTTCGATTCCCAGTAAGGGCACATACCTAGGTTGGGGTTTCAATCCCTGGTCAGGGTGCAAACCAGAGGCAACAGGTCAGTTTCTGTTTTTCTGTCTCTGTCTCAGTCTCTCCTCCACCCCCCTTCACTCTCCCTCCTTTCTTCCCCTTCCCTCCGCCCTCCCTCTGTCCCTCTCTCTATCTCCCTTCTCTCTATAATCAATGAACATATGCTCAGGATTAAAAATAATAATATTAAAAATAAAGTTAGTTTAGGAAGAAAGGCAAGGGGGGGGGGTAAGCACTTACATTTTTACATGTTGGGTGATAAGAGTGGCAGTAGTGAGAAAGAAAAGCACTGGCAGAAATAGGAAAGTTCAAAATTGAAGCTTTCCCCCCACCACTACAAGATGAAACTCATTTTAGACATAGTGACCTTGAAAAGATAAACACCAAAATGCCTAAGTCGAGAAATTAGGAAGACTGTATAAATCCACTTTTTTTATTCTGCTACTGATTAATAAATAGCTCCAGTAAACTGCCTTTTGCCAGAGAAATTAAAAAATAAGAACTAGGAGTTGTAATTACTTAGAGATTTTAATTATCCATGTTATCACTAGTCTGTACCTCATTACCAATGGGTAAATCAGAGTTAATTCAATAAATAATGAACTCTACATATTACCACTTCTAATAAGTTGTCTTGTGCTTCAGAAAATTGAAAACGATCACTAAAATGAAAAGTTTTAATTATTTCTAGATGTCAAATATCCATGTCATCTTAGTCTAGTGTCTCATTACCATGGATAATACTTGTATTGGAATAGAATAAGTAATGAATCTACTAATGGAAAGTTGTTGTGTTTTTTTTAAAATATATTGTTATTGATTTCAGAGAGGAAAGAAGCGGGTGAGAAAGATAAAAATATCAATGATGAGAGAGAATCATTGATCAGCTGTCTCCTGCATGCCCTCTACTGGGGATGGAGCCTGCAACCAAAGCATGTGCCCTGACTGGGAATCGAACCAGCGACCTCTTGGTTCATGGGTAGATGCTTAACCATTGAGCTACATGGGTTAGGCTACTAATGCAAAGTTTTAATCCACTGTTCTTTTTCAGTGAACTTATGTTTGACCATTACAAACAACTTGGTCTGTTCCAACCATGCTCCAAGATGCCTTTTATTTATAGCACCTAATGCAAAAATTCAACAATTAGGCTTCCTACGATATGTTAATCATACATCTGGATTTAACAAAACTTAAGATTTAACATATACCTTACCGTCACCATTAAGTAATAAAGGATGAGCAAATCATGAAGAAATTTTGACTAACAACAAAACCACAATGATAAGAAATCAAATATTCAAGGACTAGAGACTCAGCACAGGAATTCATGCAACAGTGGGGTTCCTCAGCCTGGACTGCAGGATCAAGCCAAAAGTGGCTTTCTGGCATCCCCCAAGAGGACCCAGATTGCGAGAGGGTGCAGGCCATGCCAAGGGACCCCATCAGTGCACAATCAAAGCTGGGGAGGTACACAGGAGGTTGGCCATCTGGGGAGGAATCACGGAAGGGCTCCAGGGCATGCCATGCTACCCTACCAGTAGGAACTTCTGCCCCCTGGTGGTCAGTGCACATCATAGCAAGCAGACCCTTTGACTGTTTGGACAACCAGACTACTGGACACTTAGCATATTAGGCTTTTATTATAGAGGATAGTCCATTTAGCCTAAAAGGAACAAAATCTTAGTTCAAATTGGCTATTTAAATTCACAGCCTCAAAAGACCTAGTAGAGAAAACCAACATTTAGACAGATACAAATAACAAAAAATTATCTATCATAAAAAACTTTGTACTTTGAAACATTATCTGGTTAAATTTAGAAACATCCAAGATTATATAAGAAACTATATCTATTTCTTCAGATTGAGAAAACTTTTGTAGATTGTTTTATCTTCTATCCTTAAACTATTTTAGCAATAACTGTTGAAGTCTATGACTCTTTTGCATTTCTTAATAAGTTCAAAAACAATGTAATTGAGGTAACCCCCCCATTCTCATTATCCCAAAGAGAAAAAACATTAGTGATGATCTCTTGACTTCTGCATCATGTTTCAAAAAATCCCAGTGTATATAATGAATGCTGTCTTCCAATATGAACATCAACTTTTAACAAGAAGTCTCTCTGGGCCCTGGCCAGGTAACTCAGTTGGTTAGAGCATTGTCTTAATAGACCAAGGTTGCATGTTCGATTCCCAGTCAGAGCACAGATAAGAATCAACCAACGAGTGCATAAATAAATGGAACAACAAAAATCCATGTTTTCCCCTCTATCTCTCTCCTTCTCTCCCACCTCTAAAATAAATAAATAAATAAATAAATAAATAAATAAATAAATAAATAAATCTCTCTGGCCTCTTCGTTAATCCCTCAATAAATCATTCTCCCCACCTTATCACAGTCCACCTGGTAAAAAATCCCTGTTGAATGTCACACATCAGAACAAATCAATGAATCTAACCATTTAGAGCTTTTACCTATTTAAAACTGAGATAAATAGGGAAATCCAACATACAAGTAACATGTTAAGAAATGCCCATCCTTAGCTGTTTTACACCCAACCTCCTGTATGTACTGGTGCAGCATTCAGGAAATGATGCCCCAGTAACATGGTCACATGCAATGCTTACTGTTCTCACTGCAGCACTGCCCAATTTTCTGTATTTTTAATGTTTGAAATACCCCTTTCTGTGTCATTTCCCAATCAGAAACTGAGGTTTGTCTTTTCTATTTTATTTTTAAAATGAAGTTACTTAACATAGCATTTACTGAAAATGAATTAAATCTCTTTATGACAGTTTAAGATATTGTGACTACTAAGCAACTTATAAAAATATTATTTTAAAATATTCCATGTAATTTCCCACCCTACCAGTATTTTGCAAAATGCTCCTTTAAAATACCAGGTCTCCTAGCTAACAAAATCTCACATCTTTGAAAAAGCAATTTGTGTTTTCAAGATGATGACGATGTTGATGACAATTTCACTCATTTAATTTTATTGGTGTAATAATATTTATATCGTAAGTCATTAAAACTTATCTCTAATAGTATAATATACAGTGAAATATTATCTTTAAATACTTTCAAAACTAGAAATTTATGTTGAAAAATACTGCTTTCTCATTGCAGTGTGATCTCGGCAGGCCAGAATTCAGAGAAAAACAATTATTTTATAAAGAACAGCTATTTATATTACATATATAATAGACATTACTTGATCTATTCACCAACACCACAACCATCACATAGTAAAGGACCCTATACATTTAAAATATATTCTCCTAAATCAGAAATGGAATACTGAATTTCATAGCCCACATACCTGAACCTCGCTTGTCCTCTGTTTAAGAGTATCTTCTTTCTCCTTAAGATCCTGTTCCACATTATTCTTTTCCCTAGAAGACCAGCAAACAATGCAAGAATATTTGAGAACATCAGCTACACCCGGTATGGTTATCCAGCCTCCTAATCCTGAATCGCTTTTTAAATACATAGTGAAACATTCAATTTTTAAATGAAGGGCAGACCTTTCTACCCAATTTTAATTATTTATGGAACAAATAAATACAAGCTCTGTTTGTTAAAAAAAAAAAAATCGCTTTCTCACTAAAATGTGGTGAAAAGAGAACAGATTAAAAAAGGAAGAGAAAAATAATCAATGAAACACTCAGGTTTCACTGACCTCACTGTTGCTATGGAAATGCTGTCCAATGAAAATTGCTGGTAAAGAAAAGGAGGGGTTGCATCAGCTTTGTAAGCTTAACCCTTGAGCACCACTGTTAAATCAAATGAAAATGGCTAATAAAAACAGCCAACAATATTAAGAAAAGGACATTTACTGAAGTGTTAATGTCCCCTTAAATCACTAGTGTGTACCAGTTTTAGAATGAAATATAGAGAAAATGGAAAGAATCGCCAATACATGGGCCATTTGCTCTATAAAATAAATCTGCTAAAAAAAAAAAAAAAGCTATTTTAGGTCACTGATAATTTCCAACTGATCAAATATATAAAACAGTGTATACTAAGTGAAAAAAGAATCACAGTAGCATTTATCTTTCTACTCAGATCGAACAAGCTAGGATCCCCTTTTACTTTGAAATCATTATCTAAATTCGTACATGATAGAAAAATAAAAAAATAAATTTGTACATGATCCATCAGAGCTGGATCCTTAATGAATGAATCCTAAGCAATCTTAGGTTCAGAATTACAAAATAAAGCTATTTCTTTTGATGTTATCAATTTAACTGCTGTTTGTACTGAAATTCTGTCTCTCTCTCTCTCTCTCTCTCTCTCTCTCTCTCTCTCTCTCACACACACACACACACACACACACACACACACACACACACGGCTCCCTTCACTTTCTTTTCTACAGAATGAGAGAAAAAGCTATAGGATTCTGCAGTAATACATTTTTGGGGTAGGTAGGGGGAAGATAAAGAAGGCAACATGAAGAAGGGAGGATGGCATTCAAGAAATCCTCCAGATGAGTGCTGCCAAGTTTCCCCTCAGAGCTTCATGGTGGTATTTCAGTTTCTTCCCAGACATAACCCAAACATAAGTGCAGGCTCCATTAAACTGCAGCATAAAGGAGAAATGAGACAGCTATACCAAAGAAGATGAAGATACTTAAGGGACAACTGCATGTTACATTTATATTTCTCATTGCAGGTGAGATTTTAAATGTAGACAAAACTCAACTCTTCTGGATATGTAGGTACAATGTTCTTAAGATTTGTATGGCAGAAAAAAGGCACAAGAATAAAGCTATTTGTATACTGTCACTTTTAAACACTTGAGATGGGCAAGGAGCTCACTAACCGTTTCTCAGGTGGGTCGCAATGTGGGTCACGATGTCTCGGAGATTTTAAACAGTCCCTTATCATACGAATCATTGTGGCAGTCCGTTTCTTCCTTATCTATTTACTATGCAAAGGTCATACCCCACTACCAATCCTTACAAAATTAGGCAAAGTTGAAAAACAGAAAAACACTGGAAGAAAAATCTAAATATACTCCACAAATTCTGCAAGCTCAATCTTGGAATTTCTCTCTCTCCTCTGTATATGATGAGCAGAAGAGTGTTTTCAGTCCCGCTGCAGCATGTCAGAGATAAGTCACATGAAAAACTAGCCCCCTCCCCCATTCCATATCCTCAGAGGCATTCTACACAAGCACAATATTAATTCAGCTCCTGCTTTCTCACAGTAGATAGTAAAAATAGAAAACATTACACGGTATCATCGATCAGCATTACACACAGTTTGGAGGGGAGTGCTCTATCCAGGGAAGATGGCACCTGTGTGTGCTTGTACTTAATCCTTTCTGCTCCGCTGTTAACTGCTTTATTGGCTGTGTCTGCTCAAGTGTATGTGCATAAAATAGGGCTGCAAGAAGGCAGTAAGTCAACTTAAAGCAGCAAAGACACATGAATGGGAGAGCAAAAGGAAGAAGCTTACTTGGTGAAAAAGAAAAACAGATTACAAAGGACTCTCAGCTCTAACAAGCAAACACAGTCTATGTTTGGGTAAACTAAAGGAAGCTTAGAAAGCACAAATTTCTCTTCATAATTCTGGGTGTGGGAGGGGTGGGGAAAAGGGCAAATAAGATATGGGAATCTTTAGGCATTAATTTCTCTTAATACTGAAATCAAATTTAACTTTTGGTCTACTGTTATCTAATAAAATCCTGGTCTCATAATTCCTTTTTATCATAAAAGCCAAGTAGTATAACATACACTATTAAACAAAAAACTTTAACGATGATGGATGCATAAATAATGCAAAGCATTCTGTTTAATATGAGTAATTTAAAATTTTAATTATTTTCAAGATTCTGCACAAAAAAATGTTACATGCAGTTTCCTAAGAAGCTCAACATATGTGGATAAGACAGATATAAGATATATTCCAAATACAGGTATGTGAGCATCTTGCTTAGAGCAGCAGTCGCCAACCTTTTGGACCTCACGGACCACTGAGTGGCAATCATTGGCTTAGAGCATTACCTTGGATGTCATGACAGGAAAGCTATTACCTTCACCTTAGTAAATTCCAGATAAGGGAAATGTAATGATCCTCTACACCCTCTAGCTTTGACTCTCTCTCTGGCCATATTCACTCCAAGATACTGGTACAACCCAAGGAATCCAAGAACACCAAAGCCATAAAGAAAGGCCAGGGATAGAGCTCCCTGTTCTGATTCTGTGGGAACTAGTATCTGAACCAGCAAGGAAAGCAGAGCCCAAGTAAGGCTTTCAAAAGTATAAAGTTGATAAACACATAATCCTACTATGAAGCAGTCAAAAGCTATTCACAAAGACAGTCAGGCTCAGGACCTTGATTTTATGCAACTCACTTCCATTCACCCAGTCTCTGTTTATAGGGAGAAGGGAGTGAGCCATCTGCCCTAATTTTTATATAATACCAACATTTTAAGAAAAACAGTATTAAATCACCTTCAAAGTCCTTTCCAGATACAGTTTTGTCTTTTTTCCTAAACATAAGCATCTATTATTTTCCAACTGTAAAACAATAAAAACTAGAAACCAGTTAAAAACTAGAAAGTTGTGAAATACATGAAGATATATTTTTCAATCCTAAAACTCATTTATAAAAATCCTTTAGTGCACACTTAACCTTAAATAGCTCAATTATCAATAAATTTCTCTAGTAACTGAACACAGAAAAGCAGGCTACTCTCATTATGTAGTTTTTAGTGATGTATGAGGGTTTATGGAAACAAGTAAAATAGGCTAAAACTGAGAGGTGGATTCTAATCTGATTCTGCTGTGAAACAGGTTTACTGACTCAATTCAGGTCACATTAACTTTCATTATTTTATTTTTCTTTAAGCAAACGCTAATATCTCTACCATCTTAAGATTTGCAAGGCAAAATTAACAAGATGGCATGTAATTAGGAAAAAAAGTAAGCTTTAAGCCTATGCTTTGATTGCTTTTTACTTATACTAAAATTATTTCTAATTTTAAATAATACCAATGGAGTAATTTTTAAATTTGTTAAAAGGAATTATGAGTTACAAAAAAAAAGTTTAGAAAATGATCTGCGACACAATTGTAGGATATGTAATCACTGAAATCTCTACTCCATAATCTTGTCTAAATATTCAAAATAATCCAAGGACTCTCTACTATTAGCAACTCATTAAATGGTTTCAAAGCATAACATCTGGCTATGAAAACCAGCGGGTATTCTGTCCACCAGGGAGAATCCGGAGTCTGCTAGAAACCCAGGTGCCTTTTTAAAAGGCCAGCACACTTACCCTGGGCTCCAGTGGAGGGGAGGAAGATCAGAGAGGACTGAAGTTAAGTGAGGACTGGGTTATGCAACTCCAAGAAAAGATCTAAAGGGACAGCCACCAGGTACCTGTTCTAAGTCCCTCTCCCACTCCGACAACAGATGCCATCTTCCCTGGATAGAGCACTCCCCTCCAAACTGAATCAGCCTGGAGAAATGCAATAGCCTCACCCTCCCACCCAGCCTTTTATGAATTAAATTGTTTCCTTATCACCAAATGTACACTACAGCCTCATGCTTCAATTACTCAATCAGTAACACCATTCTTGAGGTAGTCATGATTAAGACTTTCTAGTATCAGTACCACAGATCTTTACAGGGACAGAAACAGATTAGATTGAATTATATAAACAAAAGAGCTCCAGATTCAATATTATAAGCAATGTTTTCTCCAGAGACAATAGTTTCTAAGGGTACTTGAACTGAACTAAACAAAAAAACATTAAAAAATTTCAAACTGTATGCCTTAAATATATATTTTAAAAATCAGCTCTCAAACATAATTCAGGTAGAGATCTATAGATAGTGTTTTGGAATATAGATCCTGGATATTTAGCTCCTGTCTTTCTTCAGCTAGGGAAAGAGTGTTCATTCAGCTACTCCAATCAATGTTTGCTGAGCACTTATTCAGTAAATGCTGTGTCTAAGTGCTGAGCTGGGTGCTAGGATGATGATTACTAACATGTATTGAGACTTTACCATGCTCCAAGAACTGTACTAGGCATTTTACATGGTATTAGTCATATTTCCATTTTACTTTATACAATTGAAGAACAAATAATTAACTAAGAAACTGAAGCACAAAAAATCAACTAAGTAACTTGTCTAAGTCATACCAGGAATCAAACCAGTTAGGAGACCCATGCTCTGGAATACACTGTATTGCTTTATTACAAACAAGAGGTCCAGTACACGAAATTCGTACACTGGTAGGGTCTCTAGCAGGCTGGTCCCACACCCTGTCAAACTCCTGGACAACTCCTGATCGAGGGGACAATTTGCATACTTCTCGTTTATTATATAGAATAAGAGACATTCTGTGTGAGTTATCACACAGAGCTCAGAGTCTCC